TAATACATGTTTATTCTGAATGAATGTTAGAACCCAATCTGGTCAGTGTACCCTAATCTGGACATGCCCTCTGCCTTGCTCTCTTGCTTTCGTATGTGCCAGACATTGTGCTTAAATTGGTCTGTCATGAGAAAGTTAGTGGAAAGGGCTATCCTGTTAATATTTAGTATTTGTTTACTGGTGTTTATTTACACGTTTTTCTGATCATGTTTTCCTGAGCATGTTTTTCTGAATTCAAACAACCGTTCTTGGCTCATTGCTTTGTTTCATTCACATATAAAAGTGCACTGAAACTGAAGTAAGGTTGTCTACAGCATTAGACTGTAGTCCACCCCATTCTTCCCAGTCCTCAGGTCCCAGGTCCAGCAGACACAATCTGCTCAGGTCAGCTGAACACTTACCAGGAGATGATGTATAAACATAAACAGTATTATCTTAAGTAAAAGTACAATAGAAAGTAAGCTCTCCAGCTGAGGAGAGACTGGCCTTGTATCAGAGTATCATGTCCTCATAGAAGACAATGAGAAGTAGGAAACGAACGCACTACTTCCTCAAGCTGATCATGTTACTCAGGTCCAGAGCATACTTGTGACCTACTTAGCAAAGAAGACTTGAAAAATTACTTGGAAGTAAATAGTTTAATGAAGATCAAAGTTTAGGAAACATAAAAAAGCATTAGAAGGAAACATGCTATAAATTACTATGATAGCTAATCTTGGTTGTCAACTTGACCACATCTGGAATCAACTAAGACGAAAGCATCTGGGTACACCTGCGAGGAATTATTCTCCACTGGATCATTTAAGGTGGGAAGACCCATCCTAAATCTGGGCTGTATCTTCTCATGACAGTTTGTGTAAAAGGACACAGAAGAAAAACACTTTTGCTTTTCCCTGCTTGCCCTCATTCTCACTGGCAAGTTCGTCTACCCTGCCGCTAAGACATTCTTTACTGGCCTTAGAGCCTACTTCTAGATTCCAACATAGACTGAGGATCAGCCCGTATACCCTGCCTCTTTGACCAAATGTCATATTCTTGGTCTTTCTGCCAGGAGACAGCCATTGCTGGACGAGCCAGACCAGCCTATAAAAGTCATAATAAATCCCCTGTTTAGTATATATAGATTCATTATATCAGGTTTATTCCTCTCGAGAACCCTGACTGCTACAATTCTCAAGAGAATATTCTTCCTTGAACATTTATATGAAATCACTGTGTATTACCATGCTATTAGCTTGATAGTGATATATTCACCAGTTGCTTCAGTTTAATCTACTATGAAAATGATAACTTTTTGTAAATCATTTACACTATTGGTCTGTACTATTGTTAGAGACCTTGAGTGTACTTTATTTTACTTAATAATACATTAATTTTCCTAAAACATAGGTCTTCAAAACTAAATTACCAGAGCCCAAGAAAGCATGAAAAGATTTTCATTTTACTTATTATATACCTCATAGTAGCCTGATAGACAATATAGGCAAGTTTATGTTCTACATAACTTACAGCATTTTCACTGTTTTGGTTTTATTTCATGTCTTTCTTGCTCCTTTTCTTCCCACTCATTCACATTGAATTAAGTATCTTTAATATTTCTGATATCTGGCTCAAATCTTTCCTGAAATAATATATCAGTACAAAATAAATAGATGTTATCTTCCTTAAGATGTTGAACTGGCAAAATGGCTCGGGATGTCAGGGCACTTGTCACCAAGCCTGATAACTCAAGTTCAATCACTAGGAACCCATATAATGGAGGAAGGAGAAAATTGACTCCCACAAGTTGGGTGACTTCCATAAGAATGTTGTAAAATGTACCCTCCCCTCCACAATAAATGAATAAAAATAAATAAACAAATAAATTTAATTACTAGGAAAATACTATAAAATTAGATATTTCAGTCATCTCATTTCTCAGTTTTCTCCTTTCTCATATGATAAAACTAACATATTTTAGTTTGCTCTTGTCTAACTCATGTATTTCCCAGAATATTTTGGAAACTTTGTTCTCCATGGGGTAAAAGAGAAGTAGTGCTAGCTGGCTTAAGTATGGAGAATAGTTTGAAAGGGATGGCTTTTGAGCCTCATATTGCTGGTCTAGGACCCACCCCCATCAGCATGCCTGGCAAAAGCAAATCAATAATGCTTTATTTTAAAATGGCTTTTCTTGCTGCCCAAATTATATCACCATTCTGAATATGCTGGGCCGTAAGTTGCAGGCACCAGCCCTTCTCAACACATCATATGGCCCTAGCAGAGAACAGTTGCCAGAATGTCAGGCATCAAGTTGGATTCAGGGAAGGGGTGATCATATCATACTTTGCATGGAAATTCAGACAAGGTGGGTAAGGAGCTTAAGGAGTCCCACAAGAAGGAACCACATAAACTAAGGTCTGAGTTGAGAATAAACAACAAATACAAGTTCAAAATGGACAAGTCTTAAGCATGTGTGAGGAGAGTGAATTAACTGAAGCAGAGAAAACCCAGTGGTGATTGGGACATATTAAAGTGGGTCGAAGCAAGCTACTTTAGGATTCTGGGGAGGAGAGGGACATAATGAAAACTACTCTATGCATACTAAATAATAGTAAGATAACAAAATTCATCATAATGATTTGGATAGAAGGGATGGCTTTGAGAGTGTTTTGAGACAATGTTTTTGTTTGTTTGGTTTTGGTTTTGGTTTTGGTTTTGGTTTTTCGAGACAGGGTTTCTCTGTGGCTTTGGAGGCTGTCCTGGAACTAGCTCTTGTAGACCAGGCTGGTCTGGAACTCACAGAGATCTGCCTGCCTCTGCCTCCCAAGTGCTAGGATTAAAGGCATGCACCACCAACGCCTGGCTTTTTGATTTTGAGAAAATGTTTACTGGCATGAAGAGACCAGACAAGACTAAGGACTAAGAATAGGCCAATCAAAAGCTCAGAAGACTTTGTTTTTTAAGGATTCGTGAACAATGCTTGGGTATGGAGAACAAGTCAAGAACGGAGGAAGGAGTTATCCCAGTGGATAACTCAAGAAATGTGGGCAGCTGGATATAAATGTTGAGGGAAGGGCAAGCACTCAGCCAGAAATACAGAGATACAATAATCTCAACAAAGGTTGTAAATTAAGCAATCTGGACAAAGAACAAGTGGAGAAAATGGGTTTGCTTTTTGCTTTCTTTAATTGTTTCACGTTAACAAAGTTTAATTGTATGCATTGTAAGAAATTTGGAAGATACAGATAAAAATTAAAACGACTTGCAAACTCACCACCAGAGATAAAACCTATTAAGCCTCCACAGTTTATACCCTTTCAATATTTGGTGGGGTTTTGCTTTATTTGCATTTGTGTAATGCTCTGTGTATAGTAATTGTACAGGCCAGTATTTCTCCATTGTATCTACCTCTGAGTAAGTTCCTTGCCTAGACAAGACTTTTCTCACTCAAGAAGTTTAGGGTAGATTAGCTTGGATCTCTTTTAGAGATAAACACTGTAAACTAGCGTTCGAGTAACCATGCAAATTGAGTAATCAAAAGCACACTTTTATACAGTGCCTGACTGACAGACTGTGGGTGACCCTTCAGGAATGCCTGCTACCTGGCTTGAATAACCTCATACTTACTAATCTGCTCACCCCGATTAACTATGAACCACAATGATTTCTATAAGTTATCAAATACCTTTTAAAAATCAATCCTTTTATTGATCCCTTACTGGTCTATTGTTCTAACTCTCCTTTAAGTGATTGTTTTTCAATAACAGTACAGAACATTAATTGCCCATTTTCTCTTATAAACAACACTTTAATAGCTATTTTACACATAAAACTTGGTTAACATCTTCACTTCATTCCTTACAGTGGATTTCTAAAAGTGAATTTCCAAAGGTGTTTTTAAGTTTTCAATAGAGGCTACTAGCATGATCCTAGAAAGCAATCCCTGGACACCATTTACACTGGGAGTGAACAGGGACTCAGGGCTGAATCGGGCAATAGACCGTTTACTGACAGAAGCAGAAAAAAGACACTTCTTATTTCATTTACACTGGGGACTATAAAAAAAAAAGAGATGCCAAATATAAAAATGAACTATTTTTGTGGTAAGTTCCCAGGTTCTAGCTAGGCTGAATTAAGCAGGGCTGAAAGAAGAATATTATAGAGTCTCACCCATGGGGAACTGGTGGTTCCAAAGAGAAAAACAAATGTGCTGATGGTAGAGAGCACATATGCTTACATGAATATGCACATATGAACTCAGAGAGGTGGTGACAGCATGTGGAGGACCTGCATAGGTCAAGCCAATAGGGTCCCATCACTGAGAGGGGGAGTGGACACACGATGTAACCAATCTGTGATTGCCAATAATGTATTTCCAACATAAGTCAAGACTGTATTCAGATCACCAATATCTCCTTTAGCTGACATTTTGTTCTCAGATACAAAGGAAAGCCATACTTCCAATGATATATTCTGCAAAGAATTAAACTGACATGCTACATAATGCCACAAAATGTCATCAAACTTTTTGGAAGTACATTTTATACTGTGAATGCTTTTTCTGAATTTAAGTGCTGTTAATTAAATAATAAAAATGAAAAATCTTGTTCATAATTATAAAAGTTACTCCTCTCAACTTCTACCTAATATTCTGAGTTAAGTTAAACTGACTATCTAGTTTTGCTGTATATATCAGATAATTAGCTGCAGAACTGTCAAATGCCCAATCATAAATCAAGAATGAATGTTTAAATGGCTAGGTAATTAGCTTAAATAGAATGAAGTTCTCAAAATCCACCTTTTCAATTACATAACTAAAGTTAGGAGTTAAAGAAATTAATATGAGTACTGTGTCTTTGATTCCTGGGTTTTAAAAAAAGTCATGAGATTATCCTTTCCACTTCCTTGCTTACTGCTAAGTTCCTTTTGTAAGACTCCTTAATATCCATGAAGCAGAGTTTCTATTGCATGCGTAAAAGAGTCACAGAATTATAGACAGTGTGGCATTTGGAAGTTCCCACCTGAGTAACGAAGGGTAGAACTGCGACAAGCAGGAAACCCAGTGGAGTGGTTGATTAAGCAATGACATTAAGGAATTTGAAGCTGAAGCTGACTCATCCATACCATGTTGAAAAGTTCTAGGGAAACAAAATTGATTATTTCAGAATATACAGGAAACAGCAACTAAGAAGAGGACTGAAGTAATTTTGGAATTTTACTTAGTTTCCACAAGCCCATTTTTAACAAAAAGTGGTACCATTTTATTGAGGAAAACGCATCCACCAAAATGGCAACAAACCTATAAAAAAAAAAAAAAAGGAAAGAAAAGAAAAGAAAAAAGTAAACCCAACATTCAGACCCTTTTTAGAACAATCCTTAAATGGTAAAGGCATAGTTATGTCATTACAAATACCACAGAAAGTGCAATGAATACAAGCCTTGTCCCTCAAAACTAGCAATCTTATATTCCATAGGATTTTCACCAACCTGCATTCAATGTTGCTAATATTTATAATATCTGTTTAATATAAGAACATTTAACATTAGGTACATTTTAACCAATGTGATGTATATCTATCTATCTATCTATATATATATATAGATATATATATAGATATATAAATAGACATAGATATACACATATATATCAAACAATAAATTAAAACTTTATGATTAACTTTCTATGTTTTAATGGCTCAGAGAGACCTTGTGAAATGTATTAGCATGATGCAAATTGTAGAATACTCTGTGTAAATATTTTGTCTACAGCCACCTTTTGGAAATGACTAATATCTTTCTGAGTTGGTTCTAATTCAATGATAGATCTAGATCTAATAAGGAAAGGTTTGCTACCTAAGTGCTTAGTAGATAACTTGACTAGATTAAAAAAATTATAACTGACCAATCTATTTGCCCACATCAAGTCAAGAATAAAGACTTTTAGAAATGGGATTGTTTGAAGTGTTAGTTTCCATATAATGAAGAACTAATATTGTCTTTTTAAAAATTAAAATATAATTATATCATTTTCCCTTTCCCTTTCATAATGCAGAGGTCAATGGATCATGAGAAACACAACCCCATCACAGAAGAGGGGGCAGAAAGATTGTAAGGACCAGAGGACTAAAAAGTCTACTATATCTCCTAGAAATGATTGCTTAAACAAAATAAGATCTAAAAATGGCAATATCAACAGGCATGCTTATGCAGAAGGTAGAAACTGAATAGAATCCAATTCTGTTGTGAAAAAAGCTATCCCTACCTTCTTCTCACTTCACATCTTGAATTTGTGTATTGTCTTATTTTCTAAACTTGACTTTTCTCTTCCCTCATTGTCTTGAAGAAATGGGTTATCTTCAATTAAGTATACTTGGAAGATATTATTTAGACATTTAATATATCATCAACTCCTTAAAGCCATTTTTTCTTTAGCTTCACTAAATTTTAGATCAGAGAAACATCCCCATTTATAGCCTGTCAAAGTCAGGCTATAAATACCCACTCAATGAAATCCACAGAGGTAACTACAAAAGCAGACAGAGGCTAGCTCAGCAGCACAATGTCCTTTTCCACCAGCAATGCAGAATTCCTGAAGAATTTATAGAATGGTAGTGATGTTAGCAGGTAGCAGTTTCACATGTTATAAAACAGAGCTCAATAGCAGTAACAGATGTGGGTGGGAAGGGATTAAAAATAATGACTATGATACTATACTAGACCACTGAGAAGGGCCTAAATTAAGAGACAAATATGAGAATTCCTAAGTCAATAGAATCATGTTGCAACAATCATTTATGACATGAGAGTGAAGAGAGGACAGAGAGTTGAATGTAGAGGAGGAGCCTAGAGAAATTCACAGGAATTTCACTTAATTTTAAATAGTCACCGAGGTCCATAGGCATTTGAAATACATCTGAAGAGATAAATAGAGAATGAATTTGAATTTACTGGTTCCACTATGTACAAAAGAAGTCTGATTTGAAGACACCCATGTGGAAGTCATCACATGTGAATGGATGAATTCACCCACTGAACAAGTACAAAATGAAAAGATAGTCAATCACATATATTTGGATCAATCTTTAAAGCATGGCATGAGAAAAATAAGTATTTAAATGAAACTGCAAAGAAAAAAAGTCATAGAAAAGCTGGCAATGAGCCAGGAGAAACCTGTGTTAGGGAGGATGTTAACCATGTCAACAGCAGCAGAGAAAGTAAAAACAATATATTCTACTGGAGTTAGTCATTGCATGCACATGAGTGCCATGGTCCTTGTTTATCTATCTGGAGGGAGGGAGAAACAAAGCTGCAGTAACAGAGTGAGTGCTAGGACAAGCAGTGACTGGATGTGAGTACAAACACAAAAGTACTTCACAGACTAAGGACACAGAATGGTAGATAAAATTTGTCAGAAGCTTAGTTGAAAAGATGTACTGTAGCTGAGAAAATAAACACATTAATCAAAAGCATATCAAGAGATGTAGGGGTAAATTGTGATGAAAATATTTATTAAGAATGGATGTGGATAGAGTAGTTGCCCAAAGACCATGGGGAAAATGGGAGAGGATAAAATGAATGCATGATGGGCTATATTTTCTCAGAGAAGCACAGGGCGGGGTTATCTGCTGAGAAAACACAGAATGTGGCAAGGTCAAAGAGATGGCCAAAGTTGAGAAAGCTAGAAGCAGTCCCAGGTAGTGTCAAATGGTGTAGTTGTCAGCAGGTACACAAATACTTAAGTGATAATGTTGTGGGCCAGAGACCGGCTAGAGGCCAACCGAGGTTGGAAGGAAGAGACAGGACACGGCAAGGACGTAGGAAGAAGATGCTGTTTAAGAAGTGGGAGATATTAGTCTAAGGAAATCTTGAAATTTGCATGCAAATGGATGGAACTAGAAGAAACCATTCTCAGTGAGGTAACCTAGTCACAGAAAGAAAACATGGTATGTACCCACTCATATTAGACATAGAGCAAAGGATTATCAGACTACAATCCACACCTCCAGAGAAGCTAGGAAACAAGGAGGACTATAAGAAAGACATACATGGTCCCATGGTGAAGGTGAACGGGACAAGAGCTTCTGAATAAATTGGGAGCACTATGGGGAGGGAAAAGAAAGAGGAGGGAAGAAAAGAACATTAAGGATCAGGAAGATCTAGTCAGGAGAGGAATAGAGGAGAACAAGAAAAAAGACAAATCATTAGAGGGAACCATTATAGGTTTAAAGAGAAAAATCTGGCACTAGGGAATTGGACAGAGATCCACAAGGATGAACCCAACTAGTATTCTAAGCAATAGTGGAGAGGCTACCTTAAATGCCCTTCCCCTATAATGAGAATGATGACTACCTTAAATCCCATCCTAGAGCCTTCATCCAGTAGCTGATGGAAATAGAAGCAGAGATGCACAGTTGTACAGAGGGAGGAGTGAAGAACAAAGGGGTCAAGACCATGCTAGGAAAACCCACAGAAACAGCTGACCTGAGCAAGTGGGAGCTCATGGACCCCAGTCTGACAGCTGGGGAACAAGTATGGGACCAAACCAGGCCCCCTGAATGTGGGTGTCAGCTAGGAGGACTGGGCAATAGAAGCAGAGATGCACAGTTGTACAGAGGGAGGAGTGAAGAACAAAGGGGTCAAGACCATGCTAGGAAAACCCACAGAAACAGCTGACCTGAGCAAGTGGGAGCTCATGGACCCCAGTCTGACAGCTGGGGAACAAGTATGGGACCAAACCAGGCCCCCTGAATGTGGGTGTCAGCTAGGAGGACTGGGCAGTCTATGGGGTCTCTGACAGTCAGGATGTATCCCTGGTGCAAGAATGGACTTCTTAGCCTAGATACACAGGGGAGGGCCTAAGCCCTGCCCCAAATGATGACAGATTTTGATGATCCCTCTTGGAAGGCCTCACCCTCCCTGGGGAGTAGATGGAAGATGGGATGGGGAAGGTCTGGTGGGGGGCATGGGAGGATAGGAAGGAGAGGGAACTGGGATTGATATGCAAAATAAGATTGTTTCTAATTTAAATAAATTTATTATTTAAAAAAAAAGAAGCAGGAAATACAGTAGAGGTTTGTAGAAAGGACAGCCTCAAAGGAAGGAACAGCCCAGGATAAAGGACTTCATGAGTGAACATGAGTGTTGAACAGGAGTCACACATATCACACTTAGGCCCACTTTTCCCACATGTCTTTGAGCCCTTTGTATAAGTCCCTATTTGTCCAGAAATGAGAGGTCACCTCATGCAGCATGCCCTTTCCATCAAGGTTAGCCATCTCCATAGCATACTCTTAAAAGAGGATTTTCTTTGTTAAGTATTCCCTGGCACTCTGTCTAAAACATAGCTCCTGTTGCTATCTCTTCCTGGTCATCTTTTACTTTGTTTCTTCATAGGACTTAGCTCTAAACATTTTATGTTTACTTTTTTTTCTTTATTTTCTTTTATTTTTGTCATCTCTGTGTCTCTAGGAGAAGGTAACTGAAGGTTATTAAGAAGCAGTACTTATCACATAGGAAAAATGGAATCAAACAGAGTTTGGATCCAGTGTAGACTTTATCATTAGATTTGTAATATTTTTGACAACTTACTTAGCCTCTGTTTTCCTATTTATAGAATGGGGATATTACAATATGTATGAGGATTCTGTGATCTAATGCATGCAAAGTACCATGTGTCAGTGTCAACACAGGACAAGAAAAGTCAAAGTGCCTCTATGAGAACAGCTGCAAGGTGATATGAAAAAGTGCCTAAAAACATCTCAAAATGCTACGAAAGTCCTAACAGTAGAAATAGTTACGTACTTGCAATTTTATCCTCAACAACAACAAAAAATAATACAGGATCTAATAATAGTGGAATGGTTAACTATTGCCAAATTTTCTTAGATATAAAACCAAAGGAAACACAGTATTTAGCTGACTGTTTCTGTCCTCCTCTTTTACTCAACCTACAGATTCCTGGGCCTGGCAGGAGTAAGGATATTTGACTATATGGGGTGTTATGGCAGATGTTTATGGTCTCAGAGGGGGTGTGATATGTATGAGTATTTAATTCCACAGCAAGAGCCCAAATTAGTTTCATTATTCTGGAAAGTATAAGCTGGTGAAAATTGGTCCACAATCTCATTGGGGGAATGAG